TAAATCTAATTTAATTTTAAATAACAAGTACTTAACTAATTGAAATATAAATAAAATTAAAAATGAACAAATTAATCACAATTAACCTAATTAATTTAACACTAATTCAAATTAACCTAATTAATCCAATTCAAACCTAATTAAATTTAAAATAAAAAATAATTTATAATTTATAATATAAATAAATTAAAAATCAACCAACTAGTCTAAATTAATTGAATTAATTAAATAAACCTAAATCAAATTAACCTAATTACTTCCAATTCAAACCTAATTAAATTTAAACCTAAATCAAATTAACCATAATTCAAACCAAATTGAATTAAATTAATAATTAATTAACAATTTTCAATATAAATAAAATTAAAAATCAACCAATTAATCAAAATTAATCTAATTAATTAAAACTAAATAAAATGAACCTAATTAATTCTAATTCAAATCAAATTAACCCTAATTCAAACCTAAATAAATTTGACTGATAATTAATTAACAATTTTCAATATAAATAAAATTAAAAATCAACCAATTAATCAAAATTAGCGTAATTAATTAATTAAACCTAAATCAGATTAACCAAATTAATTCTAATTCAAACCCGATTAGATTTAAACCTAAATCAAATTAACCCTAATTCAAACCTAATTATATTTAACTAACAATTTCCAATATAAATAAAATTAAAAATCAACCAATTAATCAAAATTAGTGTAATTAATTAATAAAACCTAAATTAAATTAACCTAATTAATTCTAATTCAAACCTAATTAAATTTAAACCTAAATCAAATTAACCTTATTTCAAACCTAATTAAATTTAACTAATAATTAATTGATAATTTTCAATATAAATAAAATTAAAAATCAACTAATTAATCAAAATTAACCTAATTAATTCTAATTCTAACCTAATTAAATTTAAACCTAAATCAAATTAACCCTAATTCAAATCTAATTAAATTTAACAAACAATTAATTAACAAATTAACCTAACAATTAACAAAAAAAATAACAAATTAATCAACAAATTAACAATTAAAACTATACAAAATTATAAATTGGCCAATTAAATGTAATATTAAGCAAACAATTATGAAAAATAACTAACTTTTAAGAAATTAAAGAGAGAGGAAGAACTTACCTAATTCGAACCGAGAGGAAGGAAGGAAAGCGAGGGTTTAAAGGAAGAAAGAGTTTGGAATGAGTGTGAAGAGTGGGTGTGAACCGATGGAAAGTGAAGGAGTGGAGTTTTATGGTGGTTTTGAGTGAGGGAAAGACTGGCAGTTGGAGGATCGGAGGAAAAGAAAGGGAAGAAGCAAATGGGGGAAGAAGAAAGAGAAAGGGGATTAAATTAAGGATTCGGACTAGCGACGGACGTGATCCCATTGTTTATCCGTCACTAAGTCATCGGGTTAAATGGGTGGCTTTTTCATTCCAAAAGCCTATCTGATTTTTTTAGAATGCGATCTCGTCGTTAATCCGTTGCTATTTAGTGACGAGACATAAGTGTCTTTCATTAAGTCATCGTTAAATAAATGATTTTTTTTATTTCAAAAAGTCATCCATTTTTTTAGAATTAGCAAGGGATTTCGTACTTTAGCAACGGATCTTCGATCGCTAAAGCAAAACATTAAAAATAGTGATGAAAATAATAACTCGTTGCTATTTTTTAGTCATTCCATCGCAAACCCTTTACTAAAACACTCGGAAAGATTTTGGCATCTCAAATAGCGATAGAATTTCATCCGTCGCTAATAAATTTTCGTCAAACCGTCTCTATTCTATCTCTAAATCTCACATATATTATTTGGTAGTTATTTAACTAGGTATTGATGTACGTCATTATTTTTTGATTTTCTTATAGTGAAATATCGTTAGTTACCAAATTAATCCTTTAAAATTCAATAGAAGTGATGCTTTTGCCACATGGCTAAACTCGTGGAAGTATTATGCTCACGTGGCATTCCCAATTTCTTATTTGAACCCAATGAGAATTCATTTTGTGGATATGGGAACGTGTTTATGTTGTTGAATCCACTGGCAAACGTACTTAAATTGCGTGACACACATTCATCTAAATAAGAATATTAATTGTCATTATAAAAAATAAGCTAGGGTTTGGAAATATATATTGATATTTATTAGTTGATGGAGTATTCCATTAGAGTAGCTTTATCCAAGTAGAGGTTGATTCTTTTGCTGGCATCATGGTTCCAATGATAGAGTTTCCTCACACTTTTTTATTTGATAACAATATCTATATCTCGTCTACCTTGAATCATTACATTTTTAAGTTTGCTGACAAGCATAATTACTGTTGCATCTCGTTAATTAATTTTGACATTATCTAATGAAATGATGTTGTATATGTACGTAACATTGGACAGGTGGAGCCATTAATTTTTCATTATCAAACTGGTATCCAAATCTCTGTTAGATGCTCCATGCTTCTATTGCCGTCAACATCAAAAGTTGGACTTACTTTGAGGATGCCCTACAACTACTCTAGAAGTCAAAGAGAAATATGGAACTAAAGAATCATCTTCGATATATTGATATATGTATGTAATAATGGCTTTTTCAGGGGCCATTGATCATTAAGTTTGTTTTAACCATAAATAAGACCCCACAATCTACATTAATTGTTAGATGTTAAAGGATTAATTGTAATGGTTAACAGACAAAAAAAGTCTTATTATAATGAAAGACTGAATATCACTACTACAAAGATAAAATGTTACTCTACCTACCTCTTATAATATTTTTTTTTTAACTCAAAAATTTCAAATAAAAAATTTGAATCCGTAATTTTTTTACAAGTATAAAAACCTAATTACAATAAAACTAAACTAAAACCGTTAGTTACTATTTATTATACTATTTGAAATAGTATTTACATGAACTTGTTTTACTATTCACCTAGATTCATGTGTATTATTCTTTTCATTATACAGTTGTATTTTTGTAGCTTTCAAAAGTTTTTAAGAAATTATTATGAACGTTTTCGTGACATTATATTTTGATCCCTCTTTTTTAAATATTAATTTTTTAGTTAGTAAATATTTTTTATTTGATTTTGGTCTCACTTTATTTGTTTCATTTTGGTCACTATCATCCTTGCTTTTTTTTTTTTTGATTTTTTAATTAAAAATTTTAAGGTAAAAAGATGTTTAGAAAAAAACAATTTACAAAATAGGGTTTTAGCTAAAAATGTGGATAGAGATAAATAAATATTCTTTTAATAAAAAATTTGGTCCCGCTTTTTAAATATTGATTTTTAGTCTTTAAATATTTTTTATATGATTTTGTCCCATTTTTTTGTTTCATTTTGGTCACTTAGGACCTTATTTTTTTTCTTTGATTTTCTTTAATTAAAAATTTTAAGGCAAAAAGATGTTTAGAAAAAAACAATTTACCAAATAAGGTTTGAACTAAAAATTTAGATAGAGATAAATAAATAATTTTTTAATAAAAAATTTATGAAGATATAAAAAATAATTAATCAAATATAAAATTTTTGATTAAAAAAATGATAAAATTGAATAAATTTTTATTTAGTTTTGATTTAATATATTTTGTTAGGTGCATAATATAAAAAAGGACATTAAAATAAAATAATTATTTAAAAATAATTTTATTATTTTGTTCGATCCGTGATGTAACGCGGGTTAAAATTGTTTTCCTTATTACTGTACCAAAAAGTTATAAGTCATTCATTGTTAAGTTCGTTGCCATTTGCACTTTTTTTTTAAATGCAATGGTCAACGAGTTTTGAACTATACAATCCAATAATAGCAACTTCTAAATCCTAATATTTAAACTTAAAACCCTACAATAGTAAAAATCTCAAGCTTCAGTCACTGAGCTATCAGGTGTTATCTTGGGAAGTTAAAATCAATAGAATTCCCACGTCCAAGGAACTAACAAAACCAATAAAAGTAGGAGCAATATAAAAATAAGAGTGACTTACAAGGACATGGATCTAAAACCCATTTTCATTTTCATTACTAAGGGTACTCCAAACATCAGAAACACCAATTTGATACCTTTCACACTGTCTTTGGATAAACTAAGGATGCGTCCTTTTTTTTTTTTTTTTTTTTTTTTTGAAGCATGCGTGTACTTGAGTAAATTATAAATTATAGTCTTAGTTTTTCATAAAGAGTTTTTTTGTCTCAAAAACTAATTAATTAGTTCTTTGATAAGTGTTAATTATGATTAATTTAAAATTACTTTGTTAAAAAATGTTTTTCTTTTCTATTAATCTGTTAATTTTTAAAAATTTTCTATTTCTTAAAACAAAAAATAAAAATAAATTGAAAAAGATGAAAAGGATTGAGTTACGAATAAATAGACTTAAAAATATAAGGACTAATTGATTAGTTTTTGAAATTAAAAAAACTATTTAATTCATTTTTGAAAAAGAGGGACTAATTTATAATTTACTCCGTCTATTTCATATGTTAGTGCCTCAACAGTCAACCCCATACCATGAAGAAGAAGTGATTTGGACAGTAAAACACATGAACTGAGGGGAATAATTTAATTCATTAATCTCATGTGAGGCTGTTTTGAATTAAGGGCTCTTAATTGGTTAATTTGGCTTGGTATTTCTGAAGGAATGAACTGGCCAAATCTCCATTTTCCTCTATTCAGTGTTGCAAGACTACTTGAAACGAAGACAAGATCAGAGAGCCCCTGTCAGGCTGAAAACAGAGCTTCAATATTTTAAGACCGACTCGTTTTTTATTTTCTTAAGCATGCTCCATTCATTCGCTTTCAAAGAAGCTAAGATGACAAGTTTGTAAAATTGAATTCGTGGAAGCACGAACGAGTCACTAAAAGCCATTTATAGTTTATGCTTTAATTTTATTGTATCAGAAACCTCCCAAACATAAACTAAAACACTACCAACGTCAGTGATTAATTCTCTCACTCGATTCCGTTCACACCATTTTTTTTTTTTATGATTACCTTCTATATATGTATATAGGAAGATGATGGCCTCTCAGTTCTCATCAGTTTTACCTGAAAAGGACACCTCTCATATTCGAGCAACTAAAAGGATGGGTGATCCATGTGGAAACCCCCTAGCACAGACTAATTATCAGTTTGAGTTACATGATTTCATTGATGAAGCCAACTTTGATCAATACATTGATCTGATTCGAGGAGAGAATGAAATAACTGGTTTGGATTGTGATCTTATCAATGGCTTGTTGGTAGATAGCCAATTTGGTCAGACCCCAGGAGATATATTTGATTGTGGTCTTATCAATTATGCTGCTACGCACACGTCTAGTACAATGGAACAGGATCCAAATTACGTCCCCATTGCATTGCCAAGTTTTGATGGGGACACGAGAGGAGGAGCTGAAAAAGATACTGATGATGAAGACTCTTCTGGAACCACTACAACGACGACGACGAAGAAAACGAAAACAGATCGATCAAGGACATTGATTTCAGAGCGAAGGAGGAGGGTTAGGATGAAGGAGAAGCTCTATGCTTTGCGGGCCTTGGTTCCTAATATAACTAAGGTATGTGTATTTGAGAATTGCTTGTTAAACTTAATATTCCTATGTGATTCTGACCTTACTTTAACATTGACCTTAGGATGCCAAAAAAACTCAAATGCTCAGCTCATTTCAATTTAAAGATTGTATCAGTTTTCGATTATGAGCAAAGAATGTTTAATTTGTTAAATGTATTTAGGACTGCATTTGCTAGTTAAATTGTTGTACTGAAGCAGTAGCCTTTCATAGGTTTGCAAGTGACTATAACATGACACTAATCCTTGGAGACCTGCAGATGGACAAGGCCTCCATTGTTGGGGACGCTGTACTATATGTGCAAGACCTGCAAATGCAGGCCAAGAAGCTAAAAGCTGATATTGCCAGCCTTGAATCATCCTTAACAGGATCAGAAAGATATCAAGAGTCAAATAGAAATCCAAGGAAGGTTCAAAATGCAAGTAACAACCATCCAATTCGCAAGAAGATCATCAAGGTTTGTTTAATTATGATACTTAATTTTGACTATCTAGCACAGCAAGTAATTATACTATTAAAATGCTACTAACCAGACTTGATTAACTTGTTAAACTTTGCATCTTGGGTTTTAGATGGACGTGTTTCAAATAGAAGAAAGAGGGTTTTACGTGAGATTGGTGTGCAACAGTGGAGAAAGGGTTGCTGCCTCGCTTTTTCGGGCTCTCGAGTCCCTTACAAGCTTCATTGTTCAAAACTCAAACTTGACTACAGCTCCTGAGGGATTTATTTTAACATTTACTTTAAACGTGAGTTTCTTCACCATCTTCTTTTAGCTTTTTTTTTTTTTTTCAATTACTTTATGTTGTTTATTCACGGTTAATAAATAAATTATTATTTTGAAAACAGGTTAAAGAGAGTGAGCAGAACATGAATTTGCCAAATTTGAAGCTATGGGTCACTGCAGCTCTTTTGAACCAAGGATTTGAACTTTTAACTGCTTAATTTATCTGTTTAGACCCGCCTCTACCCTCTTTGAAGCATATGAAGAATTGATGATGAAATTAAGACAATCATCATGTTTATGATTTAGGACCCATGAATTTTGAGACATGTAAGCAAGTATTACGGATGACTTGTAATTTGTTTCTTTGTCCAAGAAACACAACTCAAATATGAAATATACTAATTTCCCATGACCTGCATCGATCGTTTAGCCGGAAATGGAATAAAATTCTAGAACACTTTTACTTTTTTATACTCCTCATATTCACTGAATTTTAATTTTTTTTTCTTTTTAATTTCTATATGGTTTGTCCATAGAATTAAGAGTAAATTATAAATTAATTTTTTTATTTTTGAGAAATGAATTAATTAGTTCTCGTTTAAAAAAACTAATCATTTAATTTTTCACTAATGATAATTATACTTAATTTGATATTATTTTATTTGATAAAATGTTTTTTTTCATCAATTCTGTCCTTTTTAAAAAAAAATCAAAATACATTGAAAAAATAAATTAAGTTGTAAGAAAATTTAAAAATATAAAAACTAAATATTAGTTTTTAAAACAAGATGGACTCATTAATTCCTTTCTAGAAACTAGAGAAATTAATTTATAATTTATTCTATAATTAAAAAAAAACAAATGGAATTAAATATAAATTAAATTGTCAATTATCCAAAAAAAAAAAGTCAACTGGTTTAATATATATATATATATATATATATATATATAATAAATGAGTACTTACCCGGGTAATCTCAGAGTCACTGACTTGTTCAAACTTCTTCCCCAACAACCCACCCCACCCCCCCCCCCCCCCCCAACAAACCAAATTACCTATTTTCTTATCAAATCGTCGTACTTTATCGACTTCTTTTTTCTTTTTCTTATTTAAAAAATCATGAAATTGATGAAAATATCAAGTTATAAGACTATTTAAAAATCAGAGACTAAACTTATATATAGTCTCTAAAACTCTAAAATTATGAGGATTGATTAATTAATTTCATTAAATTAAAAGAGTTAATCATAATTAACCTTCAGTTTGTATGCCATGTGTGTTGTATCGGGTTGAACTTGAGAAGTGTTGGGCCTAACATCTGCCTCATATTTATGGGCTTAGCCGAATTACTTTTTTTTTTCTCTGTGAATGAATGACACTAAAAAAGACTTTAAAATACGTACGGGTGAAACTATCCCTAAACTTTTCACCTCATTACATTGTGGACAAAGACTCATGCATACTGTGCTCAATTTATTGTTTGTTTATAGATAGTCGATCTGTTACTCTTCTAGCTATCATTTTCTTGGGCTATTGGATCTCTAGTTTTTTATTTGTAAATGATTTAAATATTCTGCACGCATGCAGATTTCGTCCTTGATTTTTTTCCTTTAGTCCTCTTATTTTTTTCTTTTAGACTTTTGACCCTCATGAGCCTCTTCTTTCGCCCTTAGATTTTTTTTTTTTTATATATACTTTTTATACCATTAGGTTATTCTGTCATTACAGTTTTGCCCTCCCTTTTCCTTTTATTCTCTTGGCATTTTCATGCCTTCTTTGTAATTTCCCAAATTATTATCATTTTTTCCCACACTTCTTTCTTCAACCCCTATCTCTCTATTCCTCAGCCATAACTGAAGGAAGAATAGTCAGGTCAGTTTAGCCTCTCTCTCTAAAAAATATTCATAGATTTCTTCATATTTGTCTTTCTAATTCTCTCTAATTCGTCTAACATTTTTATTTCTATCTCTCTTTTTTTGTATTTGTCTCTATTTTCATATTAAAAAAGTCACTGAGGATTTGTTGATGTTAGGGAAGCTAGTCAAAGGGTCTATGGATGTAAGCGGCATCATGGCTGGGTTTAAGGAGGTTTGGTATCTATTGGGTTCATCAGAGAAGACACTAAGGAGGGGCATTGGCTCTGATGGATTTGCAAAAGAGGATGGTGAAAGGATAGCTTGCTCGAATGGGTTTGTTAGAGAAGACGGTGGGGGAAAATGTGCTCGATTGGGTTGGTTAGAGACAAAGACGAAGGGGCAGCATGCTCGGTTAGGATGAAATGAGAGAGAAAGGTGTTGAAATTCAGAGGGTTATCTCATCTTAGCCCACTGAAAAGGCAAATTATGTGGTTGCTATCAGGGTTAGAGATGTAAGTAACAAAGCTCGTATCTTTTTTTTAGATTCTTAGGTTATTGATTTTTAAAATGAATAGGGGATTATTTGTTTAGGTTATAGGTTGTTGAAATTTCTCTATTTTTGCTAAATTAGAGTTGTAATTAGATTTTATAAACATATCCAAATCCAAAACCATCAGCTTTCTTCGATGATTTGTTTAATTGTTGAATTCTAATATTAGCCTATTCATTGGGTTTAAATTTGGTAGACAATGGAATTTGTTTATATTAATATTATTGTACAAGGAGAGAATTTGAATAGATCAGATCCAATTCTAGTTAATTCTAGCAAAAATTGTGAAAGGTTTAACTGTGGTTTTGAGGAAATGGGGATGCACAGCTTGTAGGACTATACATATGTCACGATCCATGGCCCTAATCAATCCTTTACAAAGGTGTACTGTGATCGATGGAGGTGAATATGGAAAAAGAGGGCATCAAAAATATGATAAAGGATGCGAGAACATGGGTTGAAAGAAAGAGGGCATCAGGAACAGACAAGTTTTTAACATTTATAAATTCTACCTAAATTAAAATAGAGGTTTATCTTTGATGGCTATGTAACATTTGATTTATATCTATTTTGTAATTTAATTTCACATAATATTTTTTGTAGTGTGGTTTTGATTAGCACATAAATTTTTCATTGCACTCCATTAAAAAAATTTCAAAAAATTAAAAAAAAATGGCATTAATTATGTATTAAATCATTTATAATGCCCAGAATGCCTTTGAAGTGTTTTTTCTTAAAAAAAAAAACGTATTCTTTCACAAGCTAAGTAAAAACATTATTTAGATATATAATAGATATATAACAGATGTAGTTAAAAACATAAATATAAATTAAAAACTCAAAATATTATAATAAAGAAACATCCAACTATTACTAACAAAAACTAAAAGATCGGAAGGTATCACTGTTCATTTATTATAGCATTTTTTTTTAGGGGTTGGGCTGCTATGCAAGCTCAATCGGGCCTGGTAGCAGGCTCAGGCAAGCTTGCACAGGCAGCCCCGTTTGCCTTTTTTTTTTCCTTCTAATAATTTACTTTTTTATCATAAAATTAGATGTGAAAATATATAAAAAAAAATTGCTATTTTTTTAGTTTTATGTATAATTTGACGATAATATAATATATATATGATATATTTTAAGATTTTAATTTGAATATATATATACCTGATTATATACATTCATAGTATAATTTCCATTGCTATCTTTGTGTTATAGCGCAAGGTTTTATTCAGATTTGAAGGATCCCTTGTTGTTTTTATTTCAAGGGTCTAGGCTTTCTTGTCCCTCCATCATGTTGGATTAGGCTAATTTGTCCCTCCTTATATCTTTCCACGTATTCATTTATAAAATTTCGTGGTACCATCCCTGTTTTCATATATATATATGTGTGTGTGTGTGTGATTATATTATTTTTATTATTTAAAATTTTTTTCCTCCTATTGTTTGTTTCTTATTCAAATTCTCATCAAATTAATTTTTTTATTTCTTAATAATTTTTTTTTATGTATTGATTTTGAAATAAAATTTAAGAACATGATTGTTTTATTTTTTAAAATATATTTTTATAATTTATATGATTGATTATTTTTATGATTTTTAAATGAGAGTAGCGTAGTTGTATATATAAATTCGATGAGAGAGAGAGCTAATAGTATGTTTTAGATAACTTGATTTAATTTTTTTAAAAAAATAATAATCAATTAAAAAATTTTTGACTCAATTTTTTTTAAAAAAAATTAATAATTAGTTAAAAAATTCACAAGTTTTATTTGGTTTTCTATACATATAATCGAATTTATCGAAATCTAATTTTATAATAGTTTTTATATAAATCTTTTCGGTTTGATATATTCCATGCGATTTCAATGGGTTTTTTTGTATATTTTTAAAAATCTAAGAAAATTTTTGTGATTTATTACGACATTAACCTTTGGATATTAGAAAAAGGTAACTTTTCATTTATGTTTAAAAATGTTGAGCAATTTAAATTTTAACATTGTTAGAAATATTCTATGGAAAAGTTCATTTGAATGAAATTTCAAAATTCATTACGAGTCAATAAATTTAATGCTTGTCTTTTTTTTTTTTACCTTAATGCTAGAAGCAAATTTTTTTATTTAAAAATTTATCAAGTCATGAGAATTTTGTATTTTAAAAATTACCTTTCCATCTTAAATTTTGAAATGAAATGCTCGATAGGCTAATTTTGAAGTCACAATTATCCTTTCTTTAATATGTACAAGCATCAATTTTAAGGTTAAGATTTCGATGAATTTAGAAAAATAAACTTCTCTCTTTAAATTTAGGAAATAAATGCTCGAAAATTTAAAATTTTAGTTATAAACATTTTTTTATATTATATGCATAATATAAACTTTATAAGTGAAATTTTTGTTAGAGAAAAACTTCATCAAATTTAGTAAATTAAATAGATTAATTTAATTTTCTTGTACAATATTATTACAAGAAAATATTGATAGAAATTAATAGTAGTAAATCTCTAATTTAACAAGAATTAACTAAAAAAATAAACTATTTTTTATAAGTGGATCTATAGCAATGCATGGACTCGCTTACTTATTAGATACGATACATATATAGTAGTTTTATTACAAATTAATTATAACTATACACATAATACAAATTATTTGTTATTTATTTTTTTCATATTCTAAAATCTGTATTTTTAAATAAAATAATTTAATTAATGTTTTGAAAGAACCTATTAATTATTCAAATACAATTTTTTATATTAATATTATAAATTATTTTGTTAATAAATATATATAAACCAAACAGATTTGCTTAATATATATATATATATATATATATTCGATTTACATTAATATTTAGAAACAAAATTTCTACTTGCATCAATCATACGAATCTTTAACTCTGTGTATATAATGGTTATCTGACGACGAACGTAAAACGGATATCTAACTAGTAAATTATCTAGATGACAATACGTGACATATATGTTTGAACTTGTTTGTATTGGGGATTACAATTTTATTTGAATCACCAAGGTTAGGTAAGATAAGATTTTTTTTAACAAAAAAAACAAGTAATGGATAGTGCGGGGGTTAATGGTTTAACCTATTTTTATATAATAAAGTAATTTTTAAAATGTTTTATTTTTAATTGATTTAATTTTATAATTAAATATATTAAGCTATTAGAATTATTTACATAATATATATATGAGATTAAGTTTTAAATATATTAAGCTATCAAAATTATTTTACATAATATATACATGATTAATTTTTATTCATAAAAATATTTTTATAAAATAGTCAAATAAAACACTTTTATGTTCAAATCGTAAGACTAATTATGATATTATAGTTTGAAAATTTAAGGAATAAATTAGATACCGAATGTACATTCAAAAATTAAATTTATTTAATTAGAAATATAATAATAGTGTTAACACCCAATTTTGGGTAAAAAAAAAAAAGAGAAGAAAAAGAAGAAAAAAGAAAAATGAAGTAAAAAATATATATATGTGGGTGCAATTGAAGAAGAGAAGAGAAAAGAAGCAAAATAAAGTTGGTTTTTAAAATAAGGGACCAAAACAAATTTTTGCCAAAAAAAACCTTAGAAAGCTAGTATAAAAACCCCCTTTTCTCCTCCAAAAACAGATCAACTACTATTCATCCTACCTCCAAAGAACCCTAGCCGCCGACCCTTTTTCATCAACACCAGCGACCACCTCTCGCCCATAGCCATCTCCCCACACCACGAACCACCCCTTCCACAACGGCCTCTCCTTCCATGCCACCGGCCCCATCAACCTCTCCCACCAGGCACTCATACGAGCTTGCCGCACCCCCACACGCCGGTAGCCCCTACGCCGGATGTGCACCGCTAGCCCACGCACTAGCCTACTCGCCGGTGCCTCGCCCCGATAGTAGTAGCGGCGTGCCGGCGCAGCGAGCGGCCACCACCCGCAGCGAGGCCTTTTCATGCTCGTCGGCGACCATCTTTCCTCCCCGATTGACTAAGTATTAGTCTCCATCGGGAGTCGAAAAGGTCGGATTCGACTTCAAGATCATCAAGCAAATCGGCTCGCCTCGTTTTCTTCTTTACGGTAATTTTTTTCTACTTTTTGCTTTATTTTATTTTTATTTTTAACATGTATTAAATTTGCTTCATGTTGATATGTGTCATGTAATTAATTGAGTGAATGTGATGTAATTAATTTGATTTGTTTGTTTATGTGTAATTTGTTAGAATTGCAATAATAGGCATTGCTAATTTTGCGGTACGATGCGTTGGTTTGAGCGTTTGAATATTTGTTGTTCGGAATATATATTTTAAAGGTGTGCCTCGTATGGTGATTTTATAAAAAACACGCACGTCGAACCGAACAAGTTTGAAATGTTATCATGTAACTCCGTTTTTGTTAAGCATGCTAAAGTAATTAATTTCATCAATTTGTGTGTCTTCTCCAATTCCGGTCCTATTGTCATGTCTCATTAATTTTTGCTTATGTGTGCTCGTTTTGTTTGCCTATTTTAGCATATTTTAGCCAAAGTTGTCACTTTTCGTTTTTCGTTGTCGATTTTGTCTAAAGTCGTAGCTTTGTTTTTTGTTGTCGATTTTGGCCATAGTCATGACTTTCGTTTTTCATTGCCGATTTTAGCCAAAGTCGTGGCTTTTGTTTTTCGTTGTCGATTTTAGCCAAAGTCGTAGCTTTCATTTTGTGTTATCGATTTTAGTCAAAGTTGTGGCTTTTGTTTTGTGTTGCCAATTTTAGCCAAAGTCTGTGGCTTTCAATTTTCGTTGTCGATTTTAACCAAAGTCGTTGCTTTCGTTTTTCGTTGTCGATTTTAGCCTACTTTTGCCTAAAGTCGCCGATTTTTGATTTCATTGTCGACTTTAGCCTATTTTTGCCAAAGTTATTGATTTTCGTCTGTTTTTGCCCAAGTTGTCGATTTTTGCTTGTTTTTGCCTAAATTGCCGATTTTGCCTCTTTTGCGTAGGTTTTCGATTTTCGCATATTTTTGCCTATGTTATCGATTCTCGCTTGTTTTTGCCTACGTTGCCAATTTTAGCCTATTTTTTTCCTAGGTTGTCGATTTTAGCCTAGGTTGTCGATTTTAGCCTATTTTTGCCTAGGTTGTCGATTTTTGCCTAAGTTGTCAATTTTCGCTAGTTTTTGCCTAGGTTGCCGATTTTTATCTATTTTTGCCTAAGTTGTTGATTTTGCCTATTTTTGCTTAAGTTATCGATTTTTGCTTGTTTTTACCTAACTTGTCAACTTTTATTGTTTTTTTATTTTATCTCGTTTCACCATCATTTCTAGCCATCCATTATAGAGTAAAGACGAGGTCTCCGACCGACCGAATCCCGAATCACTCGACTATGGGGCATTTTCATAAAAAATCAAAAATTGAATCGGTGTTACATGCGATACGACTTGCCTTAGGCAAGACGAGGTAGGGTGACTTTTGATCTTCCATACATGTAATAAACCCTTCACCCGAAACTACGAATAGACCAATCATGAGGTTTTCTAGTAACCATAATACTAGGTAGCGACTCCAATCATTTTTCCTATATTTCACATAACCGCTCGACGTCGTCCCGCAACAAACAAAATAGAGAATGACCTTATTATATAAAAATAGATTAAATCATTGATTCTATATATAAATATGGCGTAAAGGCTAAAAAAATCCGAATACAAAAATTACCCAAAATAATTATTTTTATTCTTATTATTTATTTTTTACAATTAATGAAATTGTAACTTGGTACATTAATTATATATGTTTAATTTTATTCTCGTGCTAAACATTTGTCTTTCTTGAATCCATATGTCAAGTTTTGCTATAACTTAAGACAAGCAAAAAGGTACAGTGGCACAATTATGTTTAATTTTAAAGGAGCATTTCCTTCATATTTTACCTCACAATTAATCACGTTTATACGAAAAGGAAACTTTTTGTTGTTTAAAATTTCAAATGTTTTGTTGTTTAACAGACGACAATAACTTTGTTCAACTACTTTCAATATCAAACATTCTCCCACTAACCCAATCCCACTACTTTCTTTGATTACTAAATATAGTAAAGGACAATTAATACTGAAAACTGAGAGGGAAAATAGATGATGTTACATCAAATTAATTACTTTTTTAATTTGATATGCCTAAAAATGGGACGACGTACGTACAAGGACGATATTAAAAAAATATATGAATAGAAGGGCACTAATATGTTTTAGTCTGGAGACATTTCGAATGATTTTTTTGAAATTTTAGGGTGCAAGAAAGCAAATCTTACAGTTTGGCCCCACAATAGATCTCTGTTTTCAGTCTTACCCTCCATTGTGAAAAAGCTAAGGAGTTCATTGTCGTCCATTATTGTCTAATCCTCCAAAAGTAAAGCACAAAGTGCTGAAAGATGAGTTTTCAACTTTTCCATCCTATAAAAAGTGGCCATGGAGGGCAAAAATTGGTGTAGGGTTTCGTTCAATTGGTAGGACAAAGGGCAAAAAACATAGCTTGTTATATAACATGCAATGAGGATGTGTAATAGATACCGTCCGTTTACAATTTCAGCTTTATGAAGAACTGAATATGACAGATTTGAAGCTGTAACGTGTCCTATCAAACACGTGATATGCTCTTAATTTGTTTTATTCATGACGAATTAAACAAATATGAAATTCAAACCAAAAACTTCAGACTTTGGAAATTAATTTGTAATACTACCATCAAAGTATAAATCAATTAGTACAATACCAGTTTAATGAATGAAAGCACAAATGAAACGAAATAATAGAATTTTCTCTGCACTTGGAAGAAGAATATGCATGCTTTCTATGCATATATATGAAATTCGCCATATAAAATTAGTTCAGAAATCTCAAAAATTACTTGTTCTTGAAACAGGATTCTGTAGGTGCTATTTTGTATCATTTCTTTTTTCTATTTTAAAAATCAAATTTGAAAATAAAAACAGAAAACTTCTTTGTTTTTCTCTTTTGTTTTCGAAAACGTTAAAAATACTCAACAACCAATTGTTTAAATTTTTCAAAATCAAACAATGGAGGTTTTTCCATGGTCGTTGGTTTGCAAGATTTCAATGTTTATGAAAAATTTTAAAATACTCAAAATATAATTAGAATAAGTTACTTCATTGAGAGATATACATAATCAGGAGAGATAAAATTAAAAAAAAAAATTAAGTTAATGTAGAAATTTTTTTATTTTTTTAGGTAGATCTGGATTGTAATTTTTTTTATGTATCTATCTCTCCTAAAAAGTAGATTCATAAAATAACTATTGTATATATCTATTAGTTAATCTTTTATATATATATATATATATATATAAAGCAGAGAAACTTAGGTATACGATCACGAACATAACAAATTAATGGAAGAAATTGCAGGAGGGATGACCCTAGTCTGCAAGTACTGATGAAATTCAACACAATTATTGATCACAATTTGGTATCAACTACCATTCTACCCAAGCTTTGACTGATAAGATATTTTCTCTACCAAAAGCAGCAACGCAAAACGATTAAAAAAAAAAAAAAAAGGTAGTTAAACCTTTAACATGAGACCATAGAAACACATGACCTTAAAAATAAATAAATCATACCATAATAGTTAGGAGATAATCAACCTCACAATACCTCCTACACGCTTGCCCAACAACCAAAATGACCAACTTACAAGGCAAATTGAAGTGCTCACGACAGTAACAACAATCAATTCAACATAGTCTCAAACAAATTAAACAGAACTACAAAAAAAGAAGGAAAATAAAAAAAGTCGGATTTTGATTAACTAATTAAATATAGATAATCAATAGCCGAGGCTGCTGGATCCAATGATTCATTTACGTCCCTCTAATATTCTCCACCGGGAAGTGGCTCATGAGTGTGGCTGATGAAGATGAGCTCGTACACAACCCCGGCAATCCCGCCTCCGACCAAAGGTCCAGCCCAGTAAACCCAGTGGTTGTACCAGTTCCAGCTCGCCAAAGCTGGTCCAAAAGCCACGGCGGGGTTCGCGGCTGCTCCTTCAAATGCTCCACCAGCCAAAATGTTAGCTCCAAGTACAAGGCCAATGGCTAGAGGTGCAAGGATTCCCACATCACCTTTCTTTGGATCAATGGCGGTTGCATAGACGGTGTAAACTAGGGCAAAAGTCATTACAATCTCGAACACAAATGCGTTCCATACATTCACCCCAGGGGACAGAGCGAATACTGCGACATTCTGCACAAATTTTTGTTTCCCATATCATGATAATTAGCAAAATATATAATATCAAATTTGCCAGACACAAAGGTTCAGAAAATCATGAAACATGGGATATATATTTACATATATAAGAAATGTGTGACCCAAATAATTGCTATCATCATCTCAAATAATGCACTTTTCTTCTTCCCTTTTTTTTTTCAATTAAAAGAAAATTAGTTAATTTGGTACGTAAAGCATCCACGTTATTCAAAATTGTAACAAGTAATTAATGATATTAAATTTCATAAAGATAACAGTTTTTAACAATATTATGAAATTGCTGGTTATAGAATGTAAAAATATTACATTGCAAATGTTAATTTCATATGATTTGAAAGAGAGAAAATTTTCAAAAAAAGTGAAAATAATCAATCTGTTAAATAATAAATTAATAATAACGCAGATAGCAGAAACAAGAAACGTAGATAGCTTGTTTGAACTTTGAATGATACTTTGATATATATATATATATATATATATAGGTAGTTACCATGCCATGAGTGGTAAACTTAAGAAGCAAGCAAGCCACAGTGGAACCAAGGAGTTGAGCAATCCAATAGAGAATCCCACGGAGGAGAGAAAGGTTGCCACCAATGAAAGCACCGAAGGTAACGGCCGGGTTGCAATGGCCTCCAGAGATGGTTGCACTGGTAGCAACTCCGACAAATAGGCCAAATCCGTGTGCCAAAGCCACTGCAACCAGCCCCGCCGGGGATATTGGGGCATTGGATGTAAGTTTGTTGTAGGCCATAGTAGACCCTTGTCCAGCAAACACAAAAATTAAAGTACTGACGAACTCAGCTAATGCAGCCTTGAATGCACCAGGATGAAAGTCATCTTGTACATTTCCGATCACTATCCGGTCGATGATAATACGATTGGGCATGGTGGTCAATTTTAAAGATCAAAATGGATATTGTTAAGAAGAAGTGGTGCCACTATCAGAATGTTTGCTAGATGTGAAATGTATGTTCCGCTATGGTGCTTATGACCCACTTATATATTGAACTTTCAAAGCAATGGGAAACCTGCTATATGCTGGATCCTGTGAACTCTAGAATGTTGGGGTCATCTATCTATCTGCAATTGTGTAAGTACGATAAATTTTATAATATATCAGGAGTAATTAATGACATATATAGTAATTATTCAATAAATCTATTTTGAGGAGGGAGATAGACAAAAAAAAAAAAAAACAAGAGAGAAAAAATAAAAAAAATTAAACGAACATGAAAATCTTCTTATCACTTTTGATAGATATATATATATATATATATATATATATATGTCTCTTCAAAGTGAACATAGAGAATAATTACTATACATACCACTAATTACTCCCGATGCTAAATAAGAGTTACGTGTATTTTTTGATTGAGTTTTTTAACTGCCTTTGATTGTGATCGTACTAAACATCTCGATGGTTCTAATCACCAATGTTCCTGAGCATGCTGTGCTATGCTATACGTTAATTGTTTTTAATTATTTTATATATTATACAGAAAAATTATTATAATAGTAAATCAAATTAGTATTTAAAAACTCATATAATGAATCATATATAAATAGATTCATGCTATTCATTTTTTTATAATTATAAATAAACTCTGAAGGTCTAAAATTTTATTTATCTTTAAAAAAATTATAGTAATAAGTATGACAAGATTAATCACAGTTTTTTTTCCTTTCAAATTTTATTAGTGCTACTCATCTTTCTTTAATTTGTTATTTATGAAAAAATAAATAATTTTTAATCTAAAAAATAATGTCATATCTTATTACAAAATTTTAAAGAAAAAAATTACGATGCTCACATTTTTATTTCAAATAAATCTTATATAAAAATATCATCATATAATCAATAATTATTGTTTTAAAAAATTATAAATTAGAAATAAAAAAAATATATTGAAGTAATAAGGTTATGTTTAGTTAAATGTTTTTTTTTCCTAATTCATGTTACTTAAATCATATTTGGGTCTGTTTTTCCAAGGAAAAAAAATACAAATTCAACATCAAAAGGACATGTACGCTCACAACATCAAAATTGAATTTATTATTATTTTACCGTAGCTAATACGAATCCGATTTGCAGATGTTCGATATGTGTTCTAAGATCTGATGGTATCTAACGCACACTAAGCAAGTTTGTTCCAGTCTATGGGCTAAATTTTTCCAATAACAGGCCAAAAAATTGAGAAATTTTAAAATACTCGAAGATTAAATAGTGATATGTACAATCGTTATTTTATATACTCGTTTTAAGAAGATAGATAGACACATTAAAAAAAAAAAACAAAAACAAAAAAAAGAGACAAATACAAAAAACCGAAGACACGTAAAAAATTTTTTTATTACTTTTGTGGGTCCAAACGTAATTCTTTCTTTTTATATATGTTTATCTTTCTTCTCAAAATGGATACATAGAATAATTACCATACATGTCATTAATTACTTCTTGAATATTATCAAAATTTTTTAATTTTTTATGAAAACATGATTTGAGTCGGTTTGGCTTATATATATATATATATATATAGAATAGTATTGTTGAACGGCGGATCTAGGTTTCAACCCTATCTTGAGGATAAGGTCCACAAGTCTTGATCCATTGGACTGGTGGGTTTTGAATCCCTACTTTTCAACTACCAGTCTTATACTCTCACCAGCCATTCTACTTGGAAAGCCCATGTGCAGACAGATCACTTTTCGACTGTTGTCTCAAGAGAATATTATTCAATTCATTTGTTTATTATTGTACTACTTTCTCATCTTCCATTCATTTGGATTTTTTTTTTTTTTTTTTTTACAGTAACAGATCATTACACTATTTGAGTTTCAATGTGAGATAAAAAAAATTGCGAACAAGTTTAAAAACATATTTTTCGCATTGGTATTATACATTTAGAAAAATAAATTATTTTAGACACTAATTCTAAGATTCAAAATTAAAAGAACAATAAAGAATAAAACAAATTTTTTTGACCACCAAAATCTACTCCTTTTAATTATTCATTTGAAAATTTGTATAATCATCTAACAAGTGAATCTCACATAAACACAAGAGGAGAGTAATACAGAAATTTTATAATATACAAAGAGTAATTAGTAGTATATATAATAGTTACTTCGTAGATCTACTCGAAGAGAGAGATAGACACATTGAATTACATCCGAATCCACCAAAAATGATAAGAAGATTTATTACATCCGGACCCATCAAAAGTGATAAGAAGATTTTCATGTTCGCTCAATTTTTTTTTTAATTTTCTCTCTTCTTTTTTTGTGTCTATCTTTCTCCTCAAAATGGATCTATGGAATAACTATTGTATATATCACTAAATAATTTCTTTTTACTTATCTACCATAATTTTAAAAACACTAGCTAATAAATGGGAAAAAGTTAACCACGTCTCTTTTCATTTATAGTGTTTTTATTTGTGAAACGGTTTCATTATTTTTAGGATAATTGCATTATAATTATATCAAATTTTAACTTTTTTTAGTTATAATTTTTTTTCATTTGAATACATCCGTAAAATATCTATCAATTGTTTTATTATTTGATAATGTTTCATCTATTCTAAAATGCTAACTTAAGATTTTGTCTTTGCATTTTTTTTTTTTTGAGTAACTAAAATGCTAAATTAAGATTTTGTCTTTTCTTTTTTATAAGTAACTTTCCCTCCTAAATTATTTTGCTATTTATTAAAAAATAACACTGAAAGAAAGGAATAAGTTTAAATTTTTTTCATTGTATTTTATTTTTTTATAAGAAAGAAAGAGCAAAATTATAATTTAGTATTTTATAGCAACTTACACGTCATCTAGATAATGAAACAATTGAGAAAAGTATAACAAATGTATTCGATTAACAGTTTTAAAAAATTTGATATACTCTATATAAGTGACAAAAATAAAAAATTAATGTAAATATTGTGCAAATATTCCTATTGTTCTATATTCCAGGATCCAATGGGATTTACAGTGTTATCAAAAAAAAAAAAAAAAAAAGGGCTTTGGTTTAATTAGGTAAAGTCCTACTGTTGGATTATTGAGAAAGGAAATACTACAAGACCGGAAGTAATTTCCCTTGGCTGATAATCTGAAATATTTGCGTTAAAGCAAATGAAAGGAAGGGATCAAGATAAGGTTATTTATAAAAATTCTCCACGCACTGACTTTGCTGTATTGTTGATGTTAGGATTTTGGCCTTTAAAGCGAAAAAAAAAAAAAACCTTCATTCAATTACTATGATAGCATAAACATAACCCTTTTGTTTTTTTTGTTAACAAACATGTAAAATTAGGGCATATTTAATATGATGTAATGTAACGAAAACGATGTTAAGCATAACGAAAACGAGTGTGCAAAGAGGGAAGATGGACAAACTCACTGAATTGATTGTTGATTTCACGGTTGATAATTATTATCTTTTTTTAGTAGGAAGACTCTGTGGCATAGAATACCCCTCAAACAGCAGGTCAATTTACAAGGAGTGAATTTCCAGTGGAGACCTTAGTGCGTGCTATGATTTCACTATCAGAGCTTCTCAAGTATCAGTGGCTAAAAAACAAAAACAAAAGAACATGCTAATTTTGTTAGGTAAGTCGAAGTAATTAATTAGTCACAGTTCTAACTTGTTGATTGCCTTTCCTTCGGATGAAATGGTTGTTGGTCATTTAGGGACGACAGTATTTTAGCAATTGTCCGTCCGTTTGTGCATGCACGTCCGACACGTCTTGGTTAGGTGCCATTGTGTCAATGCATCATGCCATCACTTGTCCGTCCTTGGTAAGCCAACAGAGTTGAAATAGACGGCTTGTTTCAGAAATTTGTGCTGCAGATTTTCATTTCATGGTTCCTGGTTGTGATCGGTGAGGGATTGATCAAATATGAAGCCGATGACGATAATTTCAACACTGCTAAGAATCTCGGTTGCTGTTAACAGCATGTGGTTTTGAAAAAGAAATACAGAGTCAATTCTCTGTCCTTTCAAGCAATAATAATTAGTTTAAAATTCCAAGACAATGCAGTCACTTTTCGTTAACATATCAGTTTACACCACTGCAGAAAAAAGAATTAAGAAAGGAAGTACGAGCTTTAATACAGCAGGCTCCAGTCTTCAGCCAGTACTCCTCCCTAGGTTCACATCGTGTCCGAACATGCTGCTAATTATCCACAACTTTGTTTTATGTTGCAGTCCAAATAGTGTAGTTTCCCAGAATCTGGGAACAGGACCTCAGGATTTCCATTTGCATCCCCTTTCTGCACAAGGGCACTACGAGTGAGGACATAAAATGACAAAACGAAAACAAGAACAGGATAACTACTAGCTAGACCATTTTACTCAACTAGCTCGAGAAATTTTTCTAAATAAATATTATCAGCCCATCAACCTGATATTTTCATCTTTGGCACGGCAAAACCACCAGCTGTTGTCTACCATCTCCACATATTTGTTTCTCCTCTCAATTTTGTCAACTTAACCTTCGCATCCAACTCCCACAGATGGAATTTTATTTGTGCTAAAGTCCGCTACAGGTCATAACACAGACCTGTGTTTGGGCGTCCACACGAGCAGGAACCTTGCCTCCATGTTGCAACGATAGATACTGACAGACAGTTCACAACTGAAAAGGCAAAGGAGAAATGAAGAATTACAAAAAAAAAAAAAATAAACTACAAAAATAACCTAAAATTAATGCACACACGTGAAGGAAAAGGCAACTTCCTAATTGATTGGTTAAAGCAAACTAAATATTTTCCAAGGACACTTGAGAACCCAATTCAGCCCAAAACAGGAAAGGCTTTCATGAGGCACGTACAGAAAATTAAAGGCTTTCATAAGACACATGCAGAAAATTACTGATTGCACCAACAATAACTTGCATTATCAGGATTTGTTAATTTCCTGAGTACTATTCAATAGTTACCAGGGCATGAAAAAGGCAGAAATTGCAGTGAAGATTAAAAACACAATTTAAGTCGCACCAAAGAGCATCACTCTAAGTGAGTTTATCTAATCGTGTGACAACATGCGGTATGATAAACTGGCACACACAAAAAAACAGAGGCATACCACCGCAACATGAATGACTGCTTGACAGCACCAGCCAGCTTCATTTCTAAATTCTGCATAAATAAAAAGTACCCCAGTGAATAACAAAAAGCAAATGAGAAAGAATGTTGTAGAGTGAGGATAAAGCAAAATACATGGCAATGGTTAAATGCTGTCAACTCCTCAGCTTTCAGGTTGTAGCTCACCAATCACCATATACAGCTACAAAAGCCACTGAATTCCTTGCACTGCAAACGCATAATCCCAAGTTAAGTTTCTAGTTTAACTTGACATAGAGCTTCAACTTCAATGAAGAAAGCCATAGTCCTAGACATATGGGTGCAGCTATAGAAAATTCTTCTGTTGCTTGTCTGCAATAATGGCCATATCCTCTATAACTCTAAACTCTCTGCTTGCATTCATATATTTCCCCTACTAAATCCCAAGCTGGGGGCATTTTTCCCAGTTAACTAGGGGCTAGGACCACATTTTATTGGTAAGAATCTTGGTCTTCCATCACAGGGTGCAGGTTCATGCAATGAGATAATAAATTTCAAGCAACCAAAGCTGAAACATAGGACTATCTATAAATTCTAACTCCCAGGATGACAGAACCCAAATCTGTGAGAACATAACTGGGTAATGCCCTTTGATATTTCTCAAGGTCATTGTGCTTAAATTAACAACAGATAAGGTCAAATTGAGGAGTTCAGGCAAAAATCTACTAATTAGATAAGGAAAGAAGTTCGAGAAAGGAAAAGAAAAAAATTCTGGATAATTAAACAAAAGGTAAAACCAAGTCCTGAATATAGAAAAAATTTAAACATAAACCCAAAATCTGAGAATTATTTAAATTGCTAAACACGCACCTTAGTGTGGATAAAGCAGGTCTATCAAATCTGCTTCAATGAACTAAAAAAGCCATAGGTCAATGTGAGGTCTAAATTACAAGGTTCAGAAATTCTGACTACATCTGGTGTCCCTCACTGAGTTTACTTGCCTTGGAAACAACTTGCAGAGTTGTGCCCTTCATAATCCAGGCTGTCGTTTCTGGTTGACTTTCAAAAGCATTAAAAGGAACTGGATTTCCATCCGCTAGTTGCACACCATACACAAATGGGAGTCTAAGAGTAAGGAAACTCTCTGGTGGTAGGACCACTTGACATCCGAGGCTGAACTGCAACTTTTGCTCACGGTCCGAAACTGATGTGGGAAGGCACGATGCCTGCAAACAACACATTGCTAAAACATGAATAATACTAAACTGAAAAGAATATATAAGCTCATCAACATCATCAACTGCTAAAATGAGCAATACTATTAATAAATGCTTAATATTTGCAATAAAAGAAAAGGAGTTGTCAAGGAAAGAAACAATGAAAACCACAATTGTCAAATTGGGATTCAACTCGTGAATTGAAAGCCCTTTTTTGGGATCGTGAATCATAAGATTCAGTAACAAATGAAAATGGCACTATAAAAGATAAATGACATACTAAATATTTTTTTAAATAAAGGAAATAATCATTTCCTAAACAAAATGTGCATCGATTCATTTAATTTATTAGTTCTTAGTCATTAAATGACCAAAAGTGTCAAAATTCAACATATTGATCATTGCTACTTGATCATTCTAACAATTCAATAACTTATAATATATCTAAAGCTTCCGTCTAACTAGTTAAACTACTAGATTTCCTACTTTTAATAAAAAGTAATAATCATTCTCAATGTTGATATAACCTTTGTCATTCTTCTTGCTTTGGAACTCTTGATTTCTTTCACCCTTTTCTTTCTTTGTCAAAAATTAATATATATAATTCATTTCAGTTTTAAGTGAAATTTTATCAAAGAAAATTGCTTGTACGTTGTTATCATAGATAAATTCTAGACTAAACCTTTCTATTTTTACCATCTATTTTAAAATTATTCATTTAATTTCATCTTCTATTAGAGTCGACTCGTATATTCACTGAATCGTAGTGAATCGAATCAAATCGTGACTGAATCACAAGATTCACATACATCTGAGATTCACTGTGTATCATTTTGTATGTGAAATAAATATTTGAATCATGAATCGTAAGATTCTAACAACCATGATGAAAACCACAATAATATTCCAAAACCGCTCTGTTGAAATCCAATTCATAAAGGTAAAGAACTCCCCGATCACAGCAGATGCACTTCTACAGGTGCATCAATACAATGTTGATGTACATACTCTAAAGAGAAGGGCTGGTTTACCTCAAATTGGATAACTGGACATGTGGCCAGCACAATGGGAAATGGAGGCGTTACCTGCAAGCAGATTCTAGACATTAGGTATTTGATAACTGAAGACAAAACATTATATATTTCACAAAAAAAAAAAAAAAAAAAAAAAAAAGAAAAAAGAAAGTCGGTGGATATGGTATATTTCTGTTTTTTGCCATTTAAACCACCAAAATTGTCCTTTAAAAAAAACAGTGGCCTGCTTTGACGTTATTGATTATTCGCTACTACTTCAGTTTCTCATCTAACAAGCATACTTGAGGTCCGCAAACATTAACATTGTCCATGTGATCAAACAAGCTAAAATAATGGACTATAAACTAGGAGGCATCCAAATCATATTCTCGGTCAAACTATAGTAAATTTTTCCTTTTATTGCAACTGAGTGAAACAAAAAAGCTATAGAAAATCAAAATATGTGTTTTCAACAAAAAATCCTTTCTGACCATGTATTGGTTATCTGAGAACAAAAGGTCCCACTGGTGTGGCTGAAGAATGATAATTTAATAATCTCGGAAGACATTCAGATCACTTATGCATTAAATTTTCCATTACTAAAAATTGTGGTATTATTTGAATCATTCCAGTAGATTCTTAAAGCAGGAAGATACGTTAATTGGCAACCATATTTTCTTGCATAACAGTGGACTTTTTAAACTCAAATAATCAAAGATATAAATCTTTAGGATCACACCACATGAGAAATGTGTCGTCATCTAATATTCTAAAAATCTAGCACTCATAATTTGATGAAATATGAATCACATTTGTTAAGGTACATTTAAGCAACAGAATTATGTTCTCAACTCCCAATGTCTTTTTGTCAGTGATGATCCCAGAAAGCATGCTTTCCAAATTATCATGAGCCCAAATGGGTTTCAAAAACGGACCACCACTGTCTATGGTATAGGGGCAATCTTTCATTAGCAATATCAATGAACATGTGGATTACAACAAATTTCAGCACAAAATGCCATAAAATTAGTAAACTAACAGCATAATTCTGCGGGTTCATAGAAATCAGGAAAATGGATGAAAAGGCTAGTGACACTATTTACCATAAAAATCCTCTGCAACTGTGATACTGTGCCAGCAAACTTGACCTTTGGTGGATCCTTCTTGTTCTTGGATAGCTGGCAGTATGGGCAATTCATATATATTGGTAAATTTCGATTCAGCATGGAGAAAGCACTTCCACCATCATCAAGGCTAATAGAAAGGAAGTTCGCATCAAGACATTGCATAAAATTGGGGTGTGTTGGATCATTGAAAGATGTCTGTTTCTGCTCCTTCCCTGACCCAGAGAACTTTATCAGCCCATTAATAGATAGATTGCTATTTACCCCCATCGCCTTTGACTTGTCTGTATTTCTCAGCTTATTTGCATTAGCAGCAGCCATATCCCTTGAACTTCGATGACCTTTACCAGTGACACCATTTCTACCCAAGTTTGAAGGATCAGCCGGACTATAGTCTGAAGTTTCCACAGAAGGTTCATAGGTCTCTTCAGTCATAGAATATGAAGACCCTAGTTCATTGAGATGATCTAAACTTAATAAGAAACGGTGTCCATGGGGACATTCATGCTCAAAGCCAACATAAACTATTGCATGCTTAGAAGATTTCACCACTTCACCGCTATTAACATTCATAGGGACTACATTACTTCCTATTCGTAGAAAAGGATCACCATCTAGGCCAACATTAGAAGCCATTCCATTTAAAGTTTCTTGAACCGATGAAACATCTTCAGATTTGTGAGATCCTTGATCAACTTTAGAATGAACCTGTTCTACAATCCTATCTCTCGCCCAGTTTTTCTTGGAACCTTTCTCAGAAATTGATGAGTGCTGCTTCTTCTGCTGTAGGGGAGGGAATCCTGAATCCACAGCTGATGATCCAGCTACTACCTCAGAAAAAGGCTTTCTCATTGTAAAATTCGGAATATTTCTACCAAAACTGATCTTTTTGTCATCTAATTTGTCATTTACTGACAGTTTTCTTTGATTTCCCACCACCGTCTCCATATCTCCGGAGTAAAACACATTTTTCTTTCTATCTACATCACCATTAAATTCAACCTGGGGATGTGTACTTGACCTAATTACAGAACCTTGCTGCACATTTGTAGCTGGTAGACCATTTAAGTTTGTCGGTTTCTCCAGAAATATTGTCCATTTTGAAAGAAATCTATGTGTAGAAGAGAACCCGCTCTGCAGCAGGCCCTTAGAAGGTTCATAGTACCTGGCACCCGCAACACGAATCAAACTCCATGAAGATGATTGAATCGGTCCTGTATTGTTGCCCTCAGGTAATTGGATGGCAGGAAGGAGTTTGTCACAGTCTGTGAAACAATTAGAAGATACATTTGCTGATTCAAAATCAAAAGGGTCAGATAGGAGTTGACGTGAACGACCACAGGCACAGGCATGAAGGAAAAAATGTCCACTTGAATGTGGCTTGACTGCAGCTCCAGTAAGTGGCTCACCATTATCAACATTGTGTCTCTGGTGCATGCATGGTTTCCCTGTCAAACTAACAGCATCACATAGTTGCCTCCCAGATTTCCAGATGGACGTGCATTCATCCTCCAGCTTTTTAGCAAACAGCTGAACTGCAGGTCCCCTGACCATTGACAGGAAAGCACGTAAAGCTTTTTCTAAATGGTCCTTATGCTGTGCGGTGGGATAACAAGCAGGCAAACCCTTCAAATACTCATCCCTGGCAGTTGGAAGAGCCTTTTCACACCATGAAGTTGAAAATTTTGTGTTAAGTCCTCTGCTATTTTCCAGCAAAGATACTGCAATGTCCAGAGGATCCATAACTTTTGAAGCACATTCAACTTGAGCTGAAACAGTGTTTCGTTGACGAGGTTTCCTTTTGCCAACTTCAGTTTCGTCAATACATCCGCATTTTGCGGAAAGAACTCCATTTAGAATTTGTTGACTGGATGATAACCATATTTCCAAACTTGGAAGTTCAGGAGTAGTCAATGTCTTTCCAGACCCAGCTGAAGCTGAAGCTGCAGCTGCAGCTGCAGCAACGGCGACCATGCCAACACCAGCTGCAGAGCCACTGTTTGTGCCACTAACCAATCCCCCTTTTCCTCTCAGAATATCAGACTGCCTGTAAATGAATTCCTTTATGGATAAAATGTCCTCTTTGTTTGCATTCTGACTATTACTTTCAAGCAAAAGAGAATCTGAGGTTGCTTTTCCATTCAAAACATCTTCCACAAGGTCAGTAGCAAAATCCAAAGATTCACCTCTCAGATTAGCAGACCTGTCAAGCAGCACAACAGATCTTGATGCATCAAGTGAAAACAAAGGTGCAGAACTTGAAACAGCACCACTTCTTGAACCAGTATGACCACTTTCAGAGCCTGATAGCGTACGGCATTTCTTTATCAGAAAACGAATCTGTGCTTCGAGAGATGACTGCAGTTTCTTCCTGAAACCACCTTCTGATTTACTTACAGGGCGTGATAGCACAACAACTGAACCAGAACCTTTTGCAGGCACATTTGACTTACCCACACTACTCAAACCAGAAGACTGATTAAGTGAGGAACTATCAGTTGACTCCTCCACATTAGAACCAGAATTCGGTACATCCAAGAAATCATCAACAAATACAAAGAGCATCACTGGAGTACAATATCCAGGAAACAATGATGCATAGGAACCTAAACCAGACATAATAGAAACAGCCGAAGAATTGCGATTCATGAAGCTACCACCTCTGCCCGGAGACGAACCAGTCGAAGCAGCCAGTCTAGATGAAGACAACGAAGAATGAGGCCTCGATGACAGTGGCGGGATATTTCTTGATCTCATGTATGGAGTTAGTGCATGTTTAGATGCTTGTAACACCCTAAACTTTTGCAAAACATGAGTGTCAAAACGTGAACCCTCCTGTATATACAGGATCACATGGCAAACCTGCATTGCTAATTGATTATTTACTAGATAACTCACGCAACCATTCAAGCACACTACCAAGAAGCACTTACTTACTTTATATTTTCTTTATTTTCACAATGCCATAAAACCCATCTAAATATAATGCAAAGTTAACTAAAAAAAAAAACTTAGCTTTAACAGAATAAACTCCAAAAAAAAAAAAAAAAAAAAGCATTAAAAGGAATAGTATAAAATTAACAAAAATTATGAAAGAAAATTAAGCTTGAAAATTCAAATGAAATTCGAAGTTTATTAAAAGGACTTACAGAGAACATGAAGAGTAAACCCTGAAGTTCCTCAAACTCCAGCTCTTCCAAACCCGAACCCGAATTCGAAAACCCACCAATAATGGGGCAACGCGTCGAGCTAAACTGCAAGAACAAGAACCCTTTTTCTTCTTCGTGGTAATAACTGATTTTCCTCTTCTTAAACCAATCCTTAACTTCCTCTTTATCAACAAACAATGTTTTATCGAGATGACCCGAGCCGAATACGTTGGAGTCAAGGACCCGATTGATGAGGTGGGGGGAGGGGTCGGGGCTCCGAGAAAGGAACCCAACCACTACTACGCCTTCTAGGGAGCGAGGATGCGACTGGGATGATGGTTGGGGATCTGGAGAGGAAGTGGGTATGGGTCCGGGTACGGGTGTAGGTGTTGGGGGACGGGTTAGGACCCGCATGGAAGATGGGTTCGGATTGCGCGAGTCCATGGACAAAGAGAAGGGAAAGGGAGGAGCTCAAGAAAGAGAATGCCATGGAGCTTGGGTGTTCATGGTGGTGCCTTGGCCTCCTTGGAATTGGATTTTTTTATTTATAAATTTTTGTAGAATCTATTTATCTATGTTTTTCCATTCAAAGTTCTTTATTAAGAATTTCGAGACAAGGTTGAGTGGAACATACTTCGAAACAGGAGGAAACCTCAAAAATTGATCTACAGTCTCCACTAGGTCTCTACTGCATTTCCAGATAGTGTTAGAGATACTTTATTATTATTATAATCTTTAAGGAGGTGATCCAAAAGTAAATTATAAGAAATAAATTAATTAGTTTTTTATTTAAAAAATTAATAATTTAATCTCCAGATTTTTAAAATTTATTTACAACTTAACCTTTTTTACTCTTTTTCAATTTTTTTAAAAAATTAAAAAAATAAAATATTGATGAGAAAAGAAGACATTTTATAAAATAAAAATAATATTAAATTATACATAATCAATACTGATCAAAGATTGTATAATAATTTTTGAAATAAAAAAGATTAATAATTTATTTCTTAAAATTAAAAAAATTAATTTATAATTTACTAGTTGTCGAATGATTAAAAAGCATTTTTTTTACTTTTTTTAGGTTTGAATTTTGTGGCTAGAATCTTTCGATGCACTAATTTATTAAGAGATGTGGTTTCAAAATAGTGAAAAAAAATTAATTTTAATTGACGTGCATGTTAATAAAAAATATGTTTTTTATTATCGATTAAAAAAATATGAAATAAGCACGTCTTTTCCTAATTCTCTTATAACTAGTTAAAAACAAACTTGACTTATAAGCAAAGCATGGAAAAACACTTTATTCATCTAAATTGGTATAGTTAAAAGAAATTATTTGTCGTGGTCTTCTTAAGATTCAAAACTTGCAGACCTAATAGAGGTAGCTTACGTATTTTAACTAAAAACTAAAAAATTTTATATATCTCACGAGGATCAATCAATACAAGGAAAACCCCCCGCCCCCTGGAACCATTTCTCATTTTGATTTACACTCCATGGAGATTTCTTTATCATTATTTCAATAATTAAACTATTTTTTATTCATATCTTCTTCTTCTTTCTTTTTTTTCTTTTTTTGTTAAGGTTCACTAATAAATTTGTTAAAAACAAGTGAAAATCACTTGCCCATTTCAAAAAAAATCAAAATAATTGATAAATTAAATTTCTAATTTCTAATTAGTATCTCTCTCTCTTTCTCTCTCTCACACGCACATACATACATACATACATACATACATACATACATACATACATATATATATATATATATATATATGAGAAAATGACATTATTGGTGCCTATCCTATAACTTTTTTATTTTACTACCCAATCTTTGATTTTGTTTTCTATTTTGATGCCCACAATCACCTAAAATTATTAATTGTTGATGTATTTGAAATTATATATTACGTGACGGTAAAAAAAAGTATCACGTGACAATCAACTCCAAACATATTAGCATTTCATAGTTTCGGATGACTATAGACACTCAAATAGAAAAAAAAATAATCAAAACTTGAGTATTGAAATAGAAAAAAAAATAAAAAATCAAAGGTTAGGCATTGAGATAGATAAAAAAAATTAAAGGTTAGGTGTCGAAAATATAGTTTTCTCAAGAAATTTATTTTAATTTTCTCACACCAAATGTCTCTCTTCTTATTTTACTCTAATCTATCCATTCTTTGTTATGAATAAATTTCATGTATATTTGTACTTTCATAATCTTTATATATGTGATCTCTCAAGATTTCTTTTCAAATATTAAAAGTCATACAATTTTAAATCATAAGAACATCAATATATGTGTTCACATCTATTTGTTATTATGTTAATTGCACAAGCAATGTTAGCAAGACATTCACTTTTTATCTTAATTCATACTTTACTTATTATCTTTATTTTTATCCTCGATCTTGTCAAAAGTATTGCACATTTAAATTTCAAACCAAAAAAGATTGATTACTAAACTTATTCATGGTAATTCTATCACAACTCGGTATACTATAAAAAGTTTAATAAGCTATTGACTATATAAAGCTTATGTCACTTGTGATATGTTGATTGATCTTCTCACTAAAAGAATCAAGCAATTTTTGTTTTGTATAAATTTTTCAATTGGCCAACCATTTGTTTCACAAATGGCAATCATAATTGCATCTTATATATCTTTTATTTTTCTAGATTCAATCTTAATTGGATCTTACATATATTTTGACAAAATGATATAATGTTAAATTTTTCTAGACGAGTTAAAAGAGTTTAGATTTTTAAAAAGTAACTTTTTACTAATATAGAGTACTAAAAATTTTCTTTTAATTAGTAGAAAAAGCCATGAGTATGATAAAAAAAAATATTTATCGGTAATGCCACTAAGTGAAAATTATTCGACTAATTCCGCGGTCTCAAGGTAATAATTTTTTTGAGAAAATTGTATTTTTTTCCCCAACTTTTAATTTTTTTTTTCAATTTCAATGTCTAACTTCTTAGTATAATTTTTTCTACTTAATTGATAACAATTACTTGAAAGTATGAGTCGTTGTCGCGTCTAGAGTTGATCGTCACACGTGACGGTTAATCCCATATGCATTAATAATTGATAATCTTAAGTTACTATAAGCACCAGAAAAAAAAAATCAAAGGTCAAGTAGCAATACACACACACACACACACCGAGTTGGATACCAAAACTAAAAAAAAAAAAAATCAAACATTAGGCACCAAAAATGTCATTTTCTCGTGAGCATCGTTTTCTCGTGTGCGTGTGAGTGTGAAAACCATCCATTGTTCATTCTTCTCTAAACCATTTTAGAAGAAATTTTTTATCTATAAATTATTGAAGTTGTGGCACATTAAGGCTTGTAATATCAATTTGGTTTATTTTATCCTTGAACTATTATGTTTTGGACAAATATTGTCTCTTCGTTTGATTTGATTATTATTATTGGCCAAAAAAATCCTTTGAAAAATTCAATTTTTGGTATTTTATGCTAAAAAATTTAACGCATACTAATATTTTACATTATAAATATTTTTAGATTTTTTTAAAACATTTAATATTTAGAAAAAAATAAAAAATAAAAAATAATTTAGAATAATTTTTTTAAAAAGGCCTTAAAAAAATCATATACATGTATGTGCTTAGTGTTTAAAAATGATTCTCGACATATTTTTAATTGTCGAATGCATAACATCTAACCAAAGTTTAAACAAAGTTAATTTTAGGAAGCACATATGAAAATATTTTGAGAATCACACTAAATTATATATGTAAATTCGAATGACCTCTTTAGAGCTTTTAAAAAACAAATTGAGAAAATTTTACCTTATTTTTTTTTCATAATTTATTGAATTTTTCATTGTTAAGAAAATAATAACAATTATCTTCGATTTTAAATAAAAAAATTAAAAGCAATACAATCACTCAAGTTTCTTCGCGAATTTGAGAAGTAAAAATATCGATAATAGTACCAGTTATCTCTCTAACTAAATTCGTTTTACCATAAAAATCAAACAATATGTTCAATTTACGTGTTTCTATAAAACCCAATATAGTTGTAAAATCACTATTTTAAACAACACAATTCTCTATGACTACGGTATCCAAGAATCAATTGTAAAGGAAACTTTGATATTTTTGTGTCACAAAAATTCATGCTTCCTTGATATAGCAATCCATAAAGTCAATCAAAGAAAAAACCATTTTTTTTATTTGATCTTATTGCTCTATGTCTTGACCAAAATCTTTCTTATATAAGTTTGTTAGCTAAAAAAAAATCCTTTATTTCAAGCCACACATGTGCATGCATGGCTTTTCACTCTCTTGTTTTGTTTGCACTTTCATCCTAGTCTTTTTCTTAATCAATTTCTTAATGGGTTATGCTAAAATCACTCATAAGCTAGACTTTTAGTGTGTACTCAATCTAATAATTGTATCTCTATACTCAAGATTTGTCATGAGTCATGATCATCTCTTTATGGTATTAAATTATCTACACCTCTCTTATCATCATTATGGTGAGCCACTCAACATAAATTTAAGTAACTTCGTCTCAAACATGAAAGAAAAATACATACTGATAAATTAAGTCATTCATTTACTAAAACTTGCCATGGTCTAAAAATGAGAACATTTTAACTTCAATTGAAAACATAATAATTGAAATGAAAGCGAAGACAAAATTTTGTATTTCCATTCTTTTGTGCCTAATCATTTGGAAGTGCTTATTAAGGTAGTTGATAATTTGGTTATTCTATAGTAAAGATTAGGTGAAAATTATATAAATACATTTGTTTAGTAGCAAAAACACATTAATATTATAAATTGTGTTGGTTCAAAGTATTAAATCTAATGATGAAAGACACATTCATATTACTATCCTTACATGGATGATAACTGATATGAAGCTTAGTTTAATTGTTGAGTATTATGTATACAATAAAAGTAATGCCAAAAGGTTACTTAGCGCTTCAACACAACAAACAATGATTGGAGCTACGTACCTCAATTATTGCATCTCCATACTCATGATCAATGACGAGTCATGTCTATCTTTATATATTTTTTTAATTATCTATTGCTATTCAATCATTGTCATTCAACTTAAATTTAATACAAGTCTAACTCATATATATATATATATACCAATCATCTATTTGCAAAACCTTGCCATGGTCTAAAATGAGAATCAATTGATTTTACAACAAAGAAAAGATTTGGAGACAAAATTTTGTATTTTAATTCTCTTGTGACTAAGCTTTTTTGATTTCTTACTAAGAAAATTAATGATTTGGTTGTTCTATGGGTCAAAAATATATCAAATATATTTGATTACTTATAAATACGAACTAACATTATACATTGTTATAGTGATGAGTATTACATATAATATTGTATGGCACATTCATATTAGTGT